CGTCTCCTTCCTCTGGGCCTCGCCCCGCGCGGCGGGGCCTTCCGGCGGCTCCCGCGGGGCGGATTGGGCTCCCGCAGCACCTGAGCCCGGTTGACCGACCGCTTGGGCTGCGCGCGCGTCGCGGCCCGTGCCCGAGCCGAAAGGTCCGCTCGAGGCAAGGGGAGGCCGCGGCTGGGGCTCCTGCCTTCACGGGCGGATGCAGGCGCTGGGTAACTTTGAGAGAGTTGCTCTGTGTGTGTGTGTGTGTTGCTGTGTATGTGTATATAGGTGTGTGTGTGTACCTTTATATAAATATATGTGGGTTGCTGTTTGTGTGCATGTGTATGTGTGTGTATATATATATATGTTGCTGTGTATGTGCGTGTGTGTATAGAGAGAGAGAGAGAAGATGGTTGCTCTGTGTGTATCCATATAGCCAAAGAGCTGGTGTTATGGTGGCTTAAAGATTAGCTTATTTGTCATGCTGTGTAAGTTTTCTTCATGCTGAATGGTACAGAAAAAATATGTGGAGGTCAGGTAGGCTGAGAAATAAGTACTGGTGCAAAGGTTATACAGGGAGCTTGGTGCTCAAGTGGATGTTTTTTGTTTTTAATTACAAAAATTTGAATTTTTTTTTTTTGAATCTTATTTGAATTCTCTGCTCTCTGGACCACACTAAACTTTATTTGGAGCCATAGGTGCATCTGGGTTTCTAAAGCTAAGGTCAGATATTACTATTTCCCAGACCTGCATAACTAATTCTTCAGAGGTTATGGAGTCATGTCCAAGATAGGCTACAACTTGACACAATCTTCTTAACTTTAGGTGCATCAGAAGCTTATTTGAGATTCCACTCCCGCCTTGCTTATTGTTCCTGATTTCCTTCAGCAGTGCTGTTATAAGAGAGACTAAATGCATTTTCAGGCATTAAAAGGAGGCTTTTCGCTGCCATTAGTTATAATGCATTCAGAATTAGAAAAGGTGCCAAGTTGGGGATTGTGATCTCCCAGGAGACTTCATTCCTGCTCCTAATGGTTGATTATTTCCTGAGTGTTCAATATTGTGTTTCTGTACCTAATTAAAAACTAAGAAATGCCTTGATATAGTAGTAGTTAGTATAGTATGGTAAAAGTACTCCTTGATATGTCTGTCTCAAAATTACTCGGATCGCTGGCAAGACTTTGAAGATCAGTATTTCAGAGTGGCAGTATTTAGTGTCTGGCAACTTTTGCAGAGTTGCCAGGAATGCGGTGAATTATTCATAGTTGTTTGATGTGTTGGTATCAGGTAGGTGGATAACTTGAGCCCATGAGAAGCTTATTGTCTTTATATGCTTGGTGAGAAGGCTCTCCTTCAGCTGATGTATCTTGCATTGGTAGGTCTGTTTTGCTGTTTAAACCATGATTACCTCCCTAATGCACCGAAGTGGCAGAATCCCTCTGACCTCCCAAGACTGCCAAGTCAGAGGTGTTGAGGAGGTACAATCCTGTATACAGTAATGTCTTCCATATATTCTAATGCTGTTTTGTGATTTTCTGTCTTGCTAGCTCCCTTGATTGTAACAGGCCTAGATCCTTGTTGTAAAACTGGACCCTGGGTGGATTTTTCCTTCTGCCATACATCCTTTCTTTTTATTGGTAACTGTACAGAAACCAACAGCTGGAAATGATCAAGAAATGAATATCTTTAGTTTGGTTCAGATGAACAAGATGACACCACCATCAAAAGAGCATAGGAATGGCTTAGTTCAGCTTTTCCCATATTGGTGCCTTCCAAAATGTGTTGGATTTTATCTCTCATTATCCTAGCCAGCATGGCTTTTCTTGGGCTGGGATGATGATTGAGGAGAAGCTGGAGAAGGCTGCAACTCCTTTGATATCTGAAACAAGTTTCGTTGACTACTCTATGATATTCTGCCGCCTCCACAGCTGATCTAAGAGACTGATTTGTGAGATGTGTATGGACTGAGTTCCAAGCCAGCCAAATGGGAGTCAGTTTAATGCTTGCTTCTCTTTTCCACTGCCACTAAAATACATACACGAGGCCATTTTTAAGCAGCTGTTTAAAAATATTCCCCTCCAATGAGCTTTTTCAATTACTTTCAGATTTCTTAGTGAGGTGTTTCCATTTAATGAGTGTTTAATTGATGAGTTTAAGGATGAGTGTTTAAGGAGCTGTAATGGTTTTACTTATAACTATATTGTTTTATCTGGATTGTTAGGCAATCCAGGTGCTACTTTTAATAAAAAGTAGCGGCAGACAGAAGCTACACAAATAATCCTTATTGCAGTGATGTGGGATATTTCCGGAATATTTTCTTGCCCTAAATGAATGGATTTTCTTTTCTTTTTAACTTTACTGAATGCGCATTGTGTTAATTTGAGATCCTTCTTAATGGTTTTTTTTTCAGCTGACTGAAATACTTGGTTAGGACAAAATAGATGATTAAAAGAACAGTAAAGAATTGGACTGGGTTAGAACACCAGCATCAGTTAACAAAGTTCTGTTAGGATGAGGACTAAAGTCAAAACGTTTTCAACTATTCTACATATAGATTCATGGTCTTAAATTGATTTCCATAAATGCGTTCATGTGTAATTGTTTTGTCCCGTATCCAAAAATGTCTCTTGTTTATTTTAATGTACCAGCACTGTTTGACTATGACCCCCTTGAGGGAGCGAAACTGATTGAATGGAAAAGAAGGATTCCTCCAGTCCTTTGCTGGGAGCATTGGCCATCTGACTGGGGCCTTTGGGTCTCTGAGCACAAGGCTTCCTGGCCGGAAGAAGATGTTTGCAAAATTGAAAAAGAAGATTGCTGATGAGGCAGCCACTGCTCCACGGCCCGGGGGGCCAGCCAGAATGCCCAGATCGATCAGCAAAGAATCCGTCACGTCAGTAGGAGCAGACTCGGGGGATGATTTCGTAAGTGTCAGAGATGGGGTTCAAATAGAGGCCAGAAATCACTTTTTCCCGACTCGAGTTCTGTTTGGATAAAGCCCTGAGGATAAAAAAGACATTTGAAAGATAGCTCGTAAGAGTGATTCATGCTTCCTAACATTGGCAAAGGGCTGGTCTGTTGAGGATGCTTATAAAAACATAAAATGGGTTGGTGCGTTCCTCCCCACTTAGTCCTAGAGGTAGATTAGTCCATGAAGAGTTGATTCCCTTCTCCTTTAGAAGCCATTTTAGCAAGGGGGAGGGGGCAGGATCCAAACCTCTTTGTCACTGAAATGTACAAACATCCTGGGCTGGTCCATTCCAGAAATTAATCTGAATGTATCTCTGTGTCTTCTGCCTACCAAGCCATCTGATGGAAGCAGCTCCAGAGAGGACCTCTCCTCTCAGCTGTTTCGAAGGAATGAACAAATACGGAAGTTGGAAGTCAAGCTCTCTGGTATGTTTCTTGTTGTACTGGGTGCTAGTTAAAAAACATGGGTACTCTCTTTCATCCCTTACCACTTTTGAAATGAACGATAGTCAGGAACTGTAAGTTTCTCTGATTTTAAAGCTGTAACACTTGGAATACATGGATAACTCCCAGAAATTGTTTTTTTTATTAATTTCACTCCTGCAAGTGGACATTCTTACTGTCTAGAGCCCACTTCCTTTTATTTTAATGTATCTGTGGGTTAGATTTATATGCGATTTTTCCTCCAGCAGCTCAAGGCTGTTCATACAGCACTCCAACCTCCACTTTTCTCCCTGTGGCAACTTTGTGAGGCCAGTCAGAGAGTGTGAGTTGCGCAAAGTCATCCCGTGAGCTTCCACGGCCTCAGTCCTAGTCAAGCACCCTCACCACTATTCTGCCTTAGCTCTGTTTCAAAATCCACGCTACTCTCAGCATAGCTACTGCTTTCCTATTGTGTGAGGAAGTGGCGGGTGGTCTGGGGGAGGGAATTCCTGCTGGAAAATCTGAAAGGGCTATTTGGAATTGGCTGTGCTCCAAAGGACTAGAAGCTGTTTGGAGGGGGGCTTTCAAATGCAACTGTCCCTTTTCTTACATCATGGGGAAAACGTGGTTCCTTGTTATTGGCAAATCTATTCTGTCTTGTCTGCCTTCGTTTTTCCGGTGAGGTAATAATGGTGATACCTTCATTGTTATTAGCGTGGTGTTGAAGGAGGCTGGCCGATACGATCCTCAGACTATAAAATCATTGTTCCTTTTCATTTGTATTTTAAAATCTCTCATTCCCTTCCTTTTCTCTTTGTCTACCCATAACTGGTTGGTGCCACCCTGTCCTTCCACTCAGATTATGCTGAACAGGTCCGAAACTTGCAGAAGATTAAGGAGAAGCTTGAAAATGCGTTAGAGACACATCAGGATTGTATGTACCCATCGTTTATTTCCCATTTGATAAAGAATTAACTCAGAAGGACAATTTCAAAATAATGTAACATTTGACAGTATCATTCCAGGATGTAGAGGCTGCTTATTTGCTGGGCTGCTGTTTATTGAAGTTTTATAAAATATATCAGCTTGTTTTGCACTCTGAAAGGACATGGAGGAGTTCAGTATTATTTCCCTGGGGTAGGATTTGTTTGTTTAAACACACACTGCCCCTTGAAGCTTGTCTTTAATGGAATTACAGCTTTTGAAAATGAAATGCTTTGTCAGGGAACACTGGAGCCAAAGTATGGTTTAACAAAACAAGAACAGGCCTTGTGTCACACTCTGCAGCTTAGGGCTGTTAATTCTAGATTGGAAGCAAAGGCAGCCTGTTGTTGGCTTTGAAACTGATTTCCCTGAAACAAATCCAGCATGCCAGAGAAGTGGTGAATGAGAAGAGTCCAAACTTTGTTTTCATAATGCTAAACCAAAAAAGCCTGCCAGTGAGGGACTTACCCAAAGGTCAGCAGTTTGGAAAAATGGGGGCAGTGGAAGCCCCAAAGGTCTCCTATCAAAGGACTCCTGTTCCTCTCCTACCTCATGGAAAAGCAATGTATCAGTTATAGAATATAGGTAGTCCTCGTTTAGCGACTGTTTGCAGTTACAACAGTGATGAAAAAGTAACTTTATGACCAATCCTCACATTTATGACCTTTGCAGGTCTGTAAAGCAAAGGAAAACTGAAGTCAGATCATCAAGACAGTCATGGTTTAACTTAGCGGCCACCTT